GCTTTGATGATCTTGCAAGCTATTGGCTATTGCTGACTCCATAAATCTTGGCAATCGTAGACAGAAGCCTCGATGATCTTGTTGCAGCGATGCCTTCTAATAAAACTCAAAGATCTCGATTGGCTTAGAAAAGCTTCGAGAACCTTCGATGACATTGCAAACTGACGCTGATCTCTAGCGGATATATAATAGCAGGATGAAGCACAAGAAATGATGCTGCCGGACGACCCCATTTCTGGGCCCACGAAACGAAAGCAAATCTGGCTTCGCCACCATGGGCCTCCGCAGTGCAATTCCGCTGGTTGTGGCATTTAAGGTGAGCGTGCAGCTGCCTTGGACAAGCCTTCTGGCTTTTTCAATCTTGTGTCTGCGTGATGCCCAAAACTGCTGGAACAAAGGCAGGCGCACGCCCGAGATCCAGCTGGTTGGCCCCGAACCTTTGCGACCCCAAAAATGGGGCCGTTTCGCGGCCCCAGAAACAAGGCTGCGAAATGCACCCGGCCTCCCTAAATATATAGTCTGAGCATGAGTTGGAGGCCTGGAAGCCCGACCCCAAAAATGGGGCCGCCAAACGGCCCCATTTTTGGGGTCGCGAATTCTTCTACTTTGAGGCACGCCCGCCTGATTGCTACGCGACGAGGCGACTGGCACACAGGCAAGCGTCCATGCAGCTTGGAAAAGACAATCTTGCAGGATTAAGACTCCCATAGCCTGCTTTCTTATGGAAGCAATCAGCATTGAATTAACATGAAAGAAACAGGCACAGGGGAGGCCCACTCAAGCGAGGCCAGAATTGCTGGACTTTCTCAGCCCTACATTTGGAGTCGCGCAGCTTGCCGTTTTCACTAACAGTGCAAAGCCTCTCGAACCGTCATTTGTGGTGTTTCGAGACAGAAACGAAGCCTTCCAAAGCCTCCCGCCGTGGGGTTCCGAGGCCCCACTCGTGGCGTTCGTGGCCCTGATGTGGCCTGTGGGTTTTGGGGGTTGGTTTAGGGGGTTTAGAAGGCGTGGGTGGGTTTGGGCTGGGTTCGGGTGGGTTTGACCATGTTTAGAAGGGTTGGGTGGGTTTGAGAGGGTTTGGGTGGGTTTGCTGAGTTTGGGTGGCGTCTCGAGAACTTGTTTGGCCGGTTTGTCTCTTACCTTGGCCGCCTGGCTGAGAAGGTTTCAGCAGCAGGGGTCTCGGCCACCATGGAGCGTGCGTCGCCAGAACGAGTCCATCTACACGCCTATCTTCATCTAGCAGTTGCCTTCCAGCGACCTGGACAGGATGCCCTCAACATCTTGCGGCCGCACGTGGCACCAAATACCGCCTCCGGCAAGACATACCAGGGTGCTGTGCGATTTGGTCATGTTTACGTCGTCGCCGACAAACTTGGGACCTTGTTCCTGGGCAGCCAGCAGATGCTGCAGATGCTTAGATGCGTAGTTGAAGGGAACTTCGAGCAAGCTGCGGCTTAAAATTCTAAAGGGGGGAAAGCAGGGTCAGTTGCAGCCCGAGGCCTGGTGGGGACTCCTCAATTAGTATTATAAAGCCCCAAGTCCCTGAGGCCTCGTAATCTTGCAAGCTAAAGGGGTTTTGAGGTTCTGGAAGGCCTCGGATGGGCCTCGAACGGCTTCAAACCCTGGGAAATGAAGCCTCGGGCGGCCTCGAACGGCTTCAAACCCTGGGAAATGAAGCCTTGGACCTGGGTTGGCGGTAATGTAGTGTGGCAAGGCTCGAGAGTTGACACTTGTTTTTGCAAGATTACGAGGCCTCGGGGACTCGAATCTTTCTCATACTATTAAAGGGGTCACCAGAAGCCTCGGACCGCTGCCTTTCTTCTTTCTTTCCTACAGAGAACTTTGGTGGATCTGGAAAAAGGCTTCAAGAAGCTTTGATGATCTTGCAAGCTATTGGCTATTGCTGACTCCATAAATCTTGGCAATCGTAGACAGAAGCCTCGATGATCTTGTTGCAGCGATGCCTTCTAATAAAACTCAAAGATCTCGATTGGCTTAGAAAAGCTTCGAGAACCTTCGATGACATTGCAAACTGACGCTGATCTCTAGCGGATATATAATAGCAGGATGAAGCACAAGAAATGATGCTGCCGGACGACCCCATTTCTGGGCCCACGAAACGAAAGCAAATCTGGCTTCGCCACCATGGGCCTCCGCAGTGCAATTCCGCTGGTTGTGGCATTTAAGGTGAGCGTGCAGCTGCCTTGGACAAGCCTTCTGGCTTTTTCAATCTTGTGTCTGCGTGATGCCCAAAACTGCTGGAACAAAGGCAGGCGCACGCCCGAGATCCAGCTGGTTGGCCCCGAACCTTTGCGACCCCAAAAATGGGGCCGTTTCGCGGCCCCAGAAACAAGGCTGCGAAATGCACCCGGCCTCCCTAAATATATAGTCTGAGCATGAGTTGGAGGCCTGGAAGCCCGACCCCAAAAATGGGGCCGCCAAACGGCCCCATTTTTGGGGTCGCGAATTCTTCTACTTTGAGGCACGCCCGCCTGATTGCTACGCGACGAGGCGACTGGCACACAGGCAAGCGTCCATGCAGCTTGGAAAAGACAATCTTGCAGGATTAAGACTCCCATAGCCTGCTTTCTTATGGAAGCAATCAGCATTGAATTAACATGAAAGAAACAGGCACAGGGCACAGGGGAGGCCCACTCAAGCGAGGCCAGAATTGCTGGACTTTCTCAGCCCTACATTTGGAGTCGCGCAGCTTGCCGTTTTCACTAACAGTGCAAAGCCTCTCGAACCGTCATTTGTGGTGTTTCGAGACAGAAACGAAGCCTTCCAAAGCCTCCCGCCGTGGGGTTCCGAGGCCCCACTCGTGGCGTTCGTGGCCCTGATGTGGCCTGTGGGTTTTGGGGGTTGGTTTAGGGGGTTTAGAAGGCGTGGGTGGGTTTGGGCTGGGTTCGGGTGGGTTTGACCATGTTTAGAAGGGTTGGGTGGGTTTGAGAGGGTTTGGGTGGGTTTGCTGAGTTTGGGTGGCGTCTCGAGAACTTGTTTGGCCGGTTTGTCTCTTACCTTGGCCGCCTGGCTGAGAAGGTTTCAGCAGCAGGGGTCTCGGCCACCATGGAGCGTGCGTCGCCAGAACGAGTCCATCTACACGCCTATCTTCATCTAGCAGTTGCCTTCCAGCGACCTGGACAGGATGCCCTCAACATCTTGCGGCCGCACGTGGCACCAAATACCGCCTCCGGCAAGACATACCAGGGTGCTGTGCGATTTGGTCATGTTTACGTCGTCGCCGACAAACTTGGGACCTTGTTCCTGGGCAGCCAGCAGATGCTGCAGATGCTTAGATGCGTAGTTGAAGGGAACTTCGAGCAAGCTGCGGCTTAAAATTCTAAAGGGGGGAAAGCAGGGTCAGTTGCAGCCCGAGGCCTGGTGGGGACTCCTCAATTAGTATTATAAAGCCCCAAGTCCCTGAGGCCTCGTAATCTTGCAAGCTAAAGGGGTTTTGAGGTTCTGGAAGGCCTCGGATGGGCCTCGAACGGCTTCAAACCCTGGGAAATGAAGCCTCGGGCGGCCTCGAACGGCTTCAAACCCTGGGAAATGAAGCCTTGGACCATGCAGAGGCTTCAAGGGTTGGCGGTAATGTAGTGTGGCAAGGCTCGAGAGTTGACACTTGTTTTTGCAAGATTACGAGGCCTCGGGGACTCGAATCTTTCTCATACTATTAAAGGGGTCACCAGAAGCCTCGGACCGCTGCCTTTCTTCTTTCTTTCCTACAGAGAACTTTGGTGGATCTGGAAAAAGGCTTCAAGAAGCTTTGATGATCTTGCAAGCTATTGGCTATTGCTGACTCCATAAATCTTGGCAATCGTAGACAGAAGCCTCGATGATCTTGTTGCAGCGATGCCTTCTAATAAAACTCAAAGATCTCGATTGGCTTAGAAAAGCTTCGAGAACCTTCGATGACATTGCAAACTGACGCTGATCTCTAGCGGATATATAATAGCAGGATGAAGCACAAGAAATGATGCTGCCGGACGACCCCATTTCTGGGCCCACGAAACGAAAGCAAATCTGGCTTCGCCACCATGGGCCTCCGCAGTAATAGACAAGCAGCCAGTGTTTTTTCCTAAAAAAAAAATCTGCTGGCTCGAATCCAGCCAAAACTCTGCTGGCGAGTGCCTTAACCGAGTAAAGAAAAGTATCTAAGACCGAGATAGATCAGGTGTGTATACATGGACTGTATAACATGGAGCAGGTGGAAGTGGAAGAGTGTGGATCAAGTTAAGTGTGTGCATGGGTGTGTGTGTTGTGTGTGTGTGAGTGCGTTGTGTGTGTGTGTGTGTGGGTGCGTGTGTGTGTGTGTGTGTGTGTGTGCGTGTGTGTGTGTGTGTGTGTGTGTGTGTGTGTGTTTGTGTGTCTGTGTGTGTGTGTGTGTGCGTGTCTGTGTGTTTGTGATGTGTGTGTGTCTGTGTGTGTCTGTGTCTGTGTCTGTGTCTGTGTGTGCGTGTGGTGTGTGTGTGTGTGTGTGTGTGTGTGTGTGTGTGTGTTTGTGTGTCTGTGTGTGTAAAGAAGCCGGGAGTGTGGGTGTGGGTGTGCCGTTTCAAAAAATGTTGTTGCAGTCTTTTCCTTGGATCAAACTTTTTGGAACTGCTATGGCGCGAACAGCGACGACAGCAATGGCTGCTCGTTGGGAAGCTGGAGGGCAAGTTCAGATGGGTCCAGCAGGTCGTGATCGCAGAACTAGATCCAGAATTCCAAAGTCACGGCAACCTGGAGCTCGGAATGAGGAAGATGATCGGACGGAGCCAGCTTCTTCCTCCAGAGCAAAACCCATGAAGAGACCTGCGGCTGCAGCCTTGCAAGACATGTTTGAATCCAAAAATGAGGTGCCGCGACGTGCGTACACTGATCCTCGCCAGGAAAGTCCACAGCGAAAAAGAGGCAGACAAGCAACTTTGAGCAGATCGTCTTTGACCCAGCGTTTCTCTCTGGACGGCATTTTGACCTCTTCTCCCAAAGAACTGCTTGAAATTCTGATTGACTTGGGCATGGTGAAGGATGGAGGACTTGATGCTTGTGAATGGTGTGCAGCCACAAACTGGCGTATCGAGTCCAAGGGGGACCACGCCTGTTTTAGATGCAAGAACAAGGATTGTCGGGCATCTAAGTCGGGTTTGAGCGAAGACCAGGACATCTTCGGCAAAAAGATCGCCCTTCGTTCCTTGGTTGGTGCTCTCTGGCTGTTTCTTGCACCCATTCAGATGAGTCCAGATCAGACTGGATTGATCTTGGGTTTGGATCATCGGACAGTGCGGGGTCTCTTCAACAACTTCCGCTCTTGGTTGAGTCCAATAGTTGACCGGCTGAACGAGGACTGACAAACTTTTATGCTTGGCTTGATTCTTAGACAAGATTTAGAAGTTGTAGTTACAACTTTAAAGTGCTCGATGAAGGACTTGGTGATTGGTGCGTTGGGTGCAGATGTGGAGCTCGATGAGATTAGCTTCAGATCGAAGGCGCTTGACGACAAGATCCTGTGGAATCGTTATGCCGCAGCCGTCAAGCGTGGAAGTGCTAAAGTCTTCATAGAGAAGTTGCCGAACCGCTTGACTGCTGCTGGGCAGGGGGGAGGGGGACCTCTGTCCATTGATGAGCTTAAGAAGCTTGTAGTCACATCCAAGGGAAGCAGTCGCTTGGCACAAGGTTCTGTGTGCCATACGGATTCCGCTAAAGCTTACAAGAAGTTGGCCTCTGACGAACCGTTGCCAGCTTTGTACAGCGGTGCCTTGGCAGGGCCTTCGTTTTCTGAGTTGAAGCTAGCCCACAGCAACGTCAAGCATAAGCCGCCTCACCCAGAGTTTGCCCGAACGTTCCGAATGAAAGTTTGGACAGGGCGCGCTTGGACCGAAGAAATTAGGGTAGGTGGCACTCAGAAGCTTGATGGTTTCTTCGCATCGTTTAGAAGAGAGGTGGGCAAGCGGTCTTTCAACACAACAGGACCCACTCCTGAAACAGCGCAAACTTTCGAACAGCAGCTTCACGAAAGGATGCGGGTATTTCAGTTTTTGTTTTGGTTTTCCTATGCAGACTGTTTCCAAGTTTTCGCAGCACTTCGCCAGGCTGAGCGAACAGCTGTCGGAAGTGCTTCTTGGGAAACTCTAAAGCCATTTTTGGGTGATGGAAAGCCGCCAACTGCCGAAAACCCGCAACTTGTTGAAGGGCAAGTTGCAGGGGCAGCAGCTCCAAATGTCCAAGACATTCCGGCTGGTGGCGCTGATGTGCCCCCCGATGATGAGAATCCTTTTGCCGATCTCGAGAGTGAGCCCGAAGTTTGCGAAGTTTCGGATGCCGACCCGTATGAAGGCATTCCAATTCGGTTGCTCAGCTGAAACCGCAACTGCGCCGCTGCCAGCGCAGAATTATGCTTTGCAGCTCTTCTGTTTGAACTTTGCGAATTTTGGGACCTTTAGGACTTAGGATGTTCTGTTAGAGATTTTGTTTTTAGTTTTTGTGATAGCAAAAATGGATTTTGGGCGCTTTGGCCAAGAAGTCAAAAGACCATACGTGGTTTTGAGAGTTTGGCTCTGACTTAAAGGTGGTGTTGACTGTTCGGTGACGCAGTCACAGCAGCAGACGTGCTTCTGAGAGACTTGACCTGAGACCCCAAGGTTTGAGGCTGTGTTGACTGTCTGGACCCAAAGTCAAAGTAGCAGACGTGGTTCTGGGAGACTTGACCTGACAGGCGAAGGTTTTGAGGTGGTGTTGACTGTCTGGATTCGCAGTCGCAGTAGCAGACGTGTTTCGGGGAGACTTGACTTTGGGAGTCCAAAGTCAAAGTAGCAGACGTGGTTCTGGGAGACTTGACCTGACAGGCGAAGGTTTTGAGGTGGTGTTGACTGTCTGGATTCGCAGTCGCAGTAGCAGACGTGTTTCGGGGAGACTTGACTTTGGGAGTCCAAAGTCAAAGTAGCAGACGTGGTTCTGGGAGACTTGACCGTAGAGGACAAGGTTTTGAGGCGGTGCTGACTGTTTGGACCCAAAGTCAAAGTAGCAGACGTGGTTCTGGGAGACTTGACCTGACAGGCGAAGGTTTTGAGGTGGTGTTGACTGCCTGGATTCGCAGTCGCAGTAGCAGACGTATTGCGGGGAGACTTGACCTTGGAGTCCAAAGTCAAAGTGGCAGACGTGGTTCTGGGAGACTTGACCTTAGAGGGCAAGGTTTTGAGGCGGTGCTGACTGTCTGGACCCAAAGTCAAAGTAGCAGACGTGGTTCTGGGAGACTTGACCTGACAGGCGAAGGTTTTGAGGTGGTGTTTGGAGGCCTGCCTTCCAGGCAGGGCTTGGCAACCAAGTCCGGGCGTGCGCCGCTCCAGGTGCCACGCCTTCAGAAAGGTGCGCCAAAGGAGCCGGCGGAGCGGTTTTGGGTGCGCTTGCCAGCGAAAAAGGGGGCGTGGCATCTGGAGCGGCGCGGCTGACGCCGCGCCGCCCTGCGGGCGGCGCGGCGTTTTAAGTGGTTAAGTTTACCGCGCGCGACGCCGCGCGCGGCATCAAAGACTATGCCTCTCCGATTCTTGGGTTTGAAACATATACTTTAGTATTCCACACAGTAACCTGTCTGCACTAGCTAGTTTTTTTTCACCCACTCGAACGGGACGGAGCAGGGCGATGACGCAAGCCGCCCTGAGATGTTGAGAGGGACGGAAGGCAGGCCGCACCGTAGATGCTGGTCGACACGCACGCGCACACGCACTCACTCACTCACGTTGCGCCCGACAGCTTCACAAGCAGGAGCCATAGGAACGCTGCATGTGCATCATGGAATCCGTGCGCGTGCGTTGGATTGTAATAGTTCCCGTCGCGGCACGCCTGAAATATTTCTGCGGGCTTGGTGCCCGTTCAATACCTCTCTGCGTGCCGTTGTCTGGGCGGTATACTTCGTGGAATACCCCCACAAATTGGATCTCCCCGACCCCCGTCTCCGCAGATTGTACCTCTCGCGCGAGTTATGTTAAACATTCTGCCAGGAACAGTAACACAGCTAGTGCAGTACAGTTAATGTACAGGAACAGCCGTCACGCACACGCGACGTGCAGGCTCGAGACCCCAGGACACACCGTGCCCAGGAACAAAAGTGTCCGACAGTCTTTGTGGGTAGGAACCCTTAGTGAAGCCCGTTCTTTAACATGGTAGCGGAGCTGCCTCCAGGAACCTCCTTGGCAGCGATGATGCTACTCGTAGCCATAGGAACCATGATGCTCGGCGCCATGGCAGTTTGCCTCGTTGCCGGATGGAAGCAGATGCGCGCAAATGAGCAGATCACCAAGAAGACGGAGACAGTGCTCAACATGCCCACGCTCAGGATCGCAGTCCGTTCAGGAACAAAGTACCACCGCAGAGGTTGTGGACACCTTCGCAACCACAACGTGACAGCAGGAAACGCGCGAGACTTTGACGCTTGCAGCGATTGCTACCCCGACCGAGTGTTGGTGGAAGAGAGAGAGAAAAGGAACATGAAGTGCTACGGTTTGGCAGCATGTATGGTGCTGCTGGTTGGTTTCGCACTGGGAAGCCTCGCAACTTTGTGCGGGATGATCTTGGTCCCAGGAGCAAGAAGTATGGCGGTGAGACCGTGGCAGGCCCTTGGCAACAACGTGGAGACCAAGGAAGAACTTGCCCTTGGAGACGCCTTACCCTCCAAGGATGTGAGCCGTGGGAGAAAGGAACTCACTTACATAGAGAGCGACGAGAGCGAGCTCATGGCAGTGTGGTCGAGCAGAAGGAAGCCCAATACGCACCGGAACCGCTACAGGAACTACGACGTGTACGGCGAGTACTACCAGCAAGGCTACAACGAGTGCAGCGTGAACCCCGACGGCACCAACGTGAACACGATCAGGAACACGAACGCGTACACGATTAAGGACTATGTGGAGATAGGAAAAGTCATGGTACCGTACGCTTTGTTGTGCATGAACCAAGTGATGAACGAGCTCTACAGCGTCGTTAGCGTGACCGGCGAGTACTACACGGAAGAGAACAGGAACGGCGACCAGAACACCGAGAACCAGGAGAGTGAGAGCCTTGAGTCAGGCTACGCCCCTAGGTACCTAGTAAAACAACAGCGAGAAGTACTGAGGAAATTTGTACAGGAACATGTTCACAGTTTCGTAGAAAAGCTAGCAACTGTAGGAAAGAAGTTTCACGACGTCGTGCATGTGATAGTTCAGGAAGTCATTTCCAACAGAGTTGTATTTCAAGGAATTCGCATAGCAGTGTTCTTAGGAACCCCAATGGGACTGATTACTTGGATCACCCTGTCGTACTATTCTAGTGTGTTTTTCGCAAGAGCAAGCAACCGCTCAAAGCACCAAAGGAAGACAAGAGGAGAAAGGAGAGCACAAGCAGTGTGCAGGAAACAGTGCAAGTCGCTACTTTTAGCAGCACTAGTTTACAGCAACCTTGAAACAGCAAAAGGAATGGAGGATGCATTGAAGGCACTTGCCGAGATCAATGCACAGACCTTACAAGGAATACAAACACTAGCAGAGGAGATCAGGAACTCAGCAGCTTCAGGAAGTCAAAGAGAAGCAGGACTTACACAAGCATTCCAGGAAACCCTGACAGCAGTTCAGGAACAGCAGAAGACAGCGCAAACAGCGTTGGCAGACGCTCACACAAACGCAGCAACGACACTTGAGGAGATAGGAGCATCTCTGGAGAAAGCAGTAAAGGAACAAAGAAAGCCTGGAGAAGTGGAGTTGCACAAGCTGATTAAAAGCCCCGAAGCATTTTCCCCAGGAACATGGCAAGAAGAGAAGAGTGGATGGACAGAGTTCAGGAACAGGATGCGGATCTGGCTTGGAGCAGTGGATTCCAACATGGTGAAGATCATGGACATCGCCGAAAGGAACCTAAAAGATGATAAGCAAGTGAAGATGGCTGAGATGTCTGCAGAAGCAAAGGAAACAAGCAGACGCCTGTATAGTGTTCTTTGTTCATACACTAAAGGAAGGCCGTACCGAGTTGTAAAGCATGTAGCTGAGGAGAACGGTATGGAAGCTTACCGTATGCTACTCAAGGAATATCAACCAACGAATCGTGCGAGATCGTTGGAGTTGTTTCACAACATTCTCAACTACAAATTCGCTCACAACAAAGGAATTGCTGAGAATATCCTCGAATATGAGGAACACATCGAGAAGTACGAGAAGGCTACTGGAGAAAAGGTACAGGAGAATTTGAAAGTATCTACTCTTATTCAAGGTATGAAACCTGACGTGAAAAGGCACTTGTTGCTCAACATGGATGAGAAGACACAGTACAATACTCTTCGTCAGTACCTTGTGAACTATGAGTCAACCGAGCGTTGGACTAACTCTTTGGCAGCCCAGCAAGGAACACCTCACCGAACCACAACAGACTTGATCGACAAAGGTGATGACCATGGTGGTCTTGCAGCAATGGATATCAACCAAGCATGGTACAAAGGAAAGAAAGGCTATGGCAAAGGTTATGTTCACCATAAAGGCAAAGGTAAAGGAAAAGGCAAGAAAGGTGGAAAGGACTTTGGAAAAGGTTACGGCTTTGACAGCAAAGGCAAAGGTAAAGGTAAAGGTTTCGGAGGTTTTGGCAAAGGCAGAGGTCGAGGCAACTGGAAAGGCCGAGGTAGAGGTTTCAGAGGTTACAAAGGAAAAGGCAAAGGTCGAGGAAGAGGTTTCTTCAGACACAAAGGAAAAGGTAAAGGCAAAGCCCAAGCAGCTACAGGAGTGTGTCACTACTGTCATAAGTATGGACATTTCGAAGCACAGTGCAGACAGAAGATGCGTGACATGGGTTACCAGGCCAGGAACGTTGACCTTGAAAACCAGAGCGAACAAGCGAGCACTACAGGTACTTCTACTCAGGCCCCTTCGTCAGCCAACAAGACCTCAACAAGCCAAAGCCAAGCAAGCCAAGGAACCCGAAGACCAGTGATTAGGATGGTCTCCATGTACCACATGGGAGACGAGCCCACAAGCTTTCCGGAGGAATTCGCGCTGAGTGAGAACTCTGAAGAGATAGAGATTGAGTACTTCGGAAGAGTTTTGCGGGTTGTTGGTGAAGAAGTTCAGGAAGAGAGGAGTGAGACAGAAGAGTTTTGGATTGGTGATGAAGATGATGAGTTTCAGGACTGTGATGAGGTGAGTAATGATGCATGGTTGCAATGGCATCTAGCAGGAACTCCGATAGGGACTCAAGATCGTGGATATTACTTTGAGTGTCCCAATGGATGTCATGAAACACCGTGGCACCCAAACATGCAGGAATGTGAGAACGGATGTCACCATCCTCCTAGAAGGAACAGAGTGGAGAGAACAGCACCCTCAAGGACCATCACCAGGTTTGCGCG